CTTATTTTTTAATTTATCACATTCTATTTTCCCCTCTGCGCTTTAATATGCTTTAATATGATAATGAGGGGCGGTGTCTTCAGGCTACAATGGCAGCCTATTGGTTGGTTAGATGCAACTGCAGCGCTCAGTTCCTGTTCAGTAGCAGTCGAAGTTGAAGTTAAGACCTCATCAGTTGGTGACATTTGTTCATAGTTAAAAAATAAATACAACATGAACTTCCCAGGAAAACATCTCCATCTTTTATTTCAAATCTCAGTTAATCAGAGTAACGCTCAGAGATCACATTAAAACTTTCTGTACAGGTTTAGTAACAGCAACCTGAGGTGCATAAAGACTGCATTTTATCTCAATCATCAATGCATATTCCCTACGTTTGAACAAAAAAAAAAAAAAAAAAAAAAGAGCTTCGATGTTATTTTTTATTTCTCCAAATGGGAGTTGGTCAGAAAGCAAATCTGAGAGGATTTGAAGCTTTAACTAACCTGAGCCTCATCCAGTAGTTAAGAGATCTGGAATTCCTTGAAAAAACTAAAAACAACAATTTATTGACCTCATGAGGCTGTGAGCTGGATGGAAGGTCTTAGTATGGAACATAGACTCTTTAAATTCACTCTTCTCTACTTGCTGCAGCTTTCCAGGCAGCAGGAATTAAACTCCCTTGACTCTCGAATGGTCGGCCACCACCGTGCAGCAGGTAACTGTTTGAAAGTAACAGCTGGCTGGTGATGCAACGTTTTCAATGTGTTCCTAAATCCTGCAGGATGAGGAAACCCAGAAGGGTTTCATGGCTCTTTAGATCTTCAGCAGGATTTAAGACGGTAAACAGGAAGCAACTCCAGGTTCATTTCTGGTTTACAGGAAGGTGCTTCAAAAATAAAAAGCTGCAATTCTACCACACATTAAATAAATATTCCTATTAAATACAGCTGTAAATAAATACTGGCAGGTTTCAGGGACTACCAGAGGCCCGTTCCCATGCTGGAGTCCGAAGGGTGGCTGCTTTAGTTCTGGAAGGATTCTACTTCTGTAGATAGGAAGGGTAGAGGGTGTTTCAGTCCCTCTGGTTTAGCTGACAGACTTCAGTTTGGACCAAGGGTTCGTCCCGCGGACTTCCAGCGGCGGACTGTTGGAGAAGATGTGGTTACAGAGCTCCTCCAGTGGCGGCTCGGGGTCAGAGGTGGCAAACTGAGCCGACTCCTCCACCTCCTTTCTGATCTCGATGTCGATTTCCTGGCAGAGAAGAGAGTTAAACCATGTCAAAGAACAGAAATGTAAGGGGTGCCCCCGTCTTCAGTCAAGAGAAAAAATAAATAAATAAAATAAAAGAGTTAATAGTCCAACTTTGTTTCAAAGCTGGATTTCATAATGTCCTGATTTTATCAGCATAGCAACATCAGTCAGTTCCTGTTTTGCTAGTTACAAAAACATGATGTTACACAATAACAGCCAAAAAAAGGAAAAAGGGGGGGTTGGTTCACGAGCAAATCTAATAATGAGCCTCTCAAGTTCGACTGGTTTGTGGCCAAGGCAGAAAAACATCAGCAATTATCATGGAGGAGCAAAGCACTGAACACAGAGCATTGCATCCAACATGACAGATAATGATGTCATAAGCGGTTGGCGTGCACCAGAACGCATCCGCTTTAGGGGACATGCAAAACAGAGAACAGTCAGGTTTGGAATCATAGAGCGTTTATAGAAGGCAAGCAGACAGAAATGAACAATGACACAATTCTATAAAACAGAAAAACTTCAATACAAAAGGTATCAAGGACAGAGAGAAAAAAAAAATAGTTAAATATTGTTCCTCTTTGAGCTTATTAAAAAACATAAACCACCCCACAGCCTTTATTGCTACATTCTCCAGATCTTTAAAACATAGTTCCAATTATTAACACGCTGCACAGGCTGGTCATGAAGGGAGGCTGGCTGTTTTTCAACTCTTCATATTTTGACCCAGTCAAAAGTGGGACAGAGTTTCTAGAAGTGAACCCCCCCCCCCTGCACAGATCAGGATCTGCTCATCCTGTAGAGTAGGAGCCTCACTGTACAGACTGCAGTCAGGCTGTGTTTCCGTCTCAAATGTGAGCAAAATTATGATGATATTCTGCTAATTTCAAAAATGCTAATTTTTGAGTAATGAAATAAAATTTGCATAACTATAAAAATAAATCTGAAAGAGAAAAGGCAGCAGTGGATGTAAACACATGTTTCAGCCATAGCTCTGGTGCTTACCGTCAAACTGAATGTAAAAAATACAATATCTAAGGTCCAGTTGCAGATTAGAGACTAGTGTGATGCAAAAAAAAAGTTTCCATTGTAGTTTTTACAAAATATAATTTTGATGTGTTAGATATTAAACCCAATAGAGTCTGGCTATAGGAAAACTGGCTCATCCTGTACAGTCATCGCTAAAAGTTTATAGAATGATTTAAATGTTAATATTTACAAAGTCTACTGCTTCAGTTTTTATAACGGCAATTTGCATAAACTCCAGAATGTTATAAAGAGTTATCAGCGTAACAGCTATTAATAGCAAAGTCAATATTTGCCTAGAAAATGAACTTTATCCCCCAAAACACATTTCAATGTCATTGCAGCCCTGCCTTAAAGGACCAGCTAACATGGTTTCAGTGATTGCTCCATTAACACAGGTGTGGGTGGTGATGAGGACAGGGCTAGAGATCAATCTGTCAGGATTCAGTCAGAATGACACCACTGGACACTTTAAAAAGAGGCTGGTGCTTGGCATCATTGTTTCTCTGCTGTGAACCATGGTTATCTCTAAAGAAACACATTCAGTCATCATTGCACTGCACAAAAAATGGCCTAACAGGAAAGAGAATGGCAGCTAGAAAGATTGCACCTCAGTCAACAATCTATGGCATCATTAAGAACTTCAAGGAGAGAGGTTCCATTGCTGCCAAAAAGGCTCCAGGGCGCCCAGGAAAGACCAGCAAGCACCAGGACTGTCTCTTAAACGTGTTTCAGCTGCAGGATCGGGCTACCAGCAGTGCAGAGCTTACTCAGGAATCAGCACCTGCATGCACTGTGAGGCGGAGACTCTTGGAGCAAGGCCTGGTCTCAAGGAGGGCAGCAAAGAAGCCTCTTCTCAGCAGGAAAA